GAATATATTCATTTCGCATTTTGTCTCTAAGTGAAAAGTCACTCATCCACCTAATCATTCTCATCTCAGCAACACTTAACTTAGTATTATGCTTCTCTTCTAAAGGCCAACATTCAAGGCCATAAAGCATTGCAGGTTTCACCACCGCCTTAAAAAATTTTCCTTTCAGTTTAAGCGGAACTTTTTTATCACACAAAAGGCCCGAAGCATTCCTCCACTTCAACCAACCAACTTGAATTCTACTATTAACATCCTCATCTATATCACCATCGCTTTGAACAACAAACCCGAGATATCTAAATCATTCACATCTTTTAATAATTTGATCACCCAAAGTTACACTTTTGTCACTAGAGCTACTACTACTAAAATTACATTCCATGCATCCAGTTTTAGTTCTACTCAAATAAAGGCCTTTAGACTCCAATGTTGACCTCCATAAATCATGTTTTTCCTGAGCTTTTTCTCTAGTCTTATCCACGAGAAGGATATCATCAGCGAAAAACATACACCAAGGTGCATCCTCTTGTAAATATGCAGTAAGAGCATCCATAACTAAAGCAAAAAGATATGAGCTTAAAGTCGATCTCTAATGTAATCCAACTGAAATAGGAAAATATTTGGTCAATTCCCCTTCTGTTCAAACACAAGTAATCGCTCTAATATACATATCTTTAAAGACTTGAATATAAGTCAAATCAACACCTTTCTCTTCTAGAACTCTCCAAACGATATCTCTTAGAACCTTATCGTAAGTTTTTTCTAAATCAATAAAAATCATATGTAGAACCTTCTTATTCTCTTTGAACCTCTACATCAAACCTCTTAATAAATGTATAGCTTCCTTAATCGACCCACTGGACATAAATGTAAATTGATTATGAGAAATATTTGTATAACATCTTAACTCATGTTCAATTACCCTCTGCCATAATTTTAAAGTGTAATACATCAACTTAATTCATTTATAATTTGCACACTCTTATGCATCCTCTTTATTTTATAAAATGGGGACCAAAATAGTCTTCCTCCACTCCTTAGGCATCTTTTTAGTTTTTAAAAAAAATATTAAAGAGTTTAGTAAGCCAAGAAACTCCCAAATCCCCTATATATTTCCATAGTTCAATTGGGATATCATTAGGTCTTACAGACTTTCCACTCTTTATTTACTTTAAAGCCTCAACTTTTTTTTACTTATGTGCGACGGTAAAAATGAAACATTTTATTATTATAAACAACATTAAGATCACTAAGATCGATCGTATTTTCAGAAACTTAATTAAAAAGTCCATCAAAATAATTCACTCACCTATGTTGAATATATTTTCCTAAAAAAAATATTTTTTAATTTTCATCTTTAATACACTTCACTTGAATTAAATCTTCATTTTTATTTTCTCTTTATTTGACTAGTTTATACAAATATTTTTCACCCTCTTTAGTATCTAATCTATCATAAAGATCATAAAAGTAGAATTTTTAACATCACAGATTCTTCTCTTAAA